AATATTACCTGTTGGTAATAAGGGTTTTTTTCCTTTAGTTGTTTTTTTTTATGGAGCTGATCACCCAAGCAGGTGGACCGCAATGGAAAAGCGAGGGGTCCTTGGAGAAGCTGTTGGATCAAAGCAGTGGGAGTGCATCCAGCTTTGCATGGGGCACTGCAGAGCTGGCTGCACCCTGTGCCCGCTGTGAAATGCCCAGGGCTGAGGCTTCGGTGAAGACTCGACGCCTGTGCCATCCATCAGCCCAACGCTCGCTTTCTGCTTGTGTTGCACATGCTCGATTTAAGCCTTTTTCTCTTCTAAATATAGCCGAGTGAAGCTGAGAAGGTTTGTGCCACTGCAGAAGTACTCATGCTGCTAAGAGGATAGCTTATTTGTTTGCAACATTTCAAGTTGCTTTGTAAACAGCCTTTTGGATTCTTGCCTTCCTCTTTGAGATGCAGATGTTGCGTCCTCCTGCTGGTCTTTACGTTGACATCCTGGTTTGTATTCAGGGGATGCTGCTGGCTGTGGGTACAGAGCTATCAAAGTGATGTAAGTCCTTCAGCTAACGGATACAGATGGAAGGGTATGAAACACCATCTGCATCCCATCAAGAGGGGAGGAGGTTTCCACGTGTGGATGGTAGCTTGTGCGAAGATCTCAGAGCCCTTTTGGACCAGTCGAAGGAGCCCTGAAGAAGTGAGTGATAGCTGTGTCTCACAGGGGTGGTTTGCTGATGGTCCTGCTGCAGATAGTCCAGCTGCGGAGTAGAGCCAACGCTGCTGCCACGTCCCTGCTTGCTGGCTTGGTGAAAAAAATAGCATTTAGCGAAGGTGAGAGTTGTGCTGTGAAAAGGGTGTGAGGGAATTGACGTAAGAAGAGCCATCTGGGCACGGCGATGCCTTCTCTCTGCTTGGGTGGTGGATGTTGAAGGAGAGACCAGAGACACTGGGGCGAGGATGGTGCGCTGCTGCTGCGGCTCCTCGGGGCTGCGTCCGAACCGTCGTTTTTAATGGCCATCAGCAGCTCTTTCTGACGGGTCTGACTTTGCACATCCACTGCCACAACACCTCGTGGCAAGGTCTGTAAATCTGGCCGTGCGTGGCCTGGAAAAGCATTCCTCCTTTTGGTGTTAAACTTACTGTGCTCTTCACGTGAACGTCTCCTGCGATGTCGTTGCTCTCTGTCACATCTGGGTTCTCTCCAGTCCTTCCTTTCCAGATCCAGGCTGGCCCCAGGCATGGAAACCTTCCAGTACCTCTAGTGAGCCCTGCCCTTTGTTTATTCTTTCTTGGATGGGCTGGTCATATACTCGTGAACTTATTGACGTGCAGACATAGGATTTATTCGGTGGCACGATACCTTCAGGCCTTGTTCCCTCTTTCTTTGCTGAGGTGTGGTGGAGAATTGTTGGCAGGTACATTACTACTGCATTGCCTAAGCAGAGTCCTTTTCAACATGGTGTGTCAGGCTTTTCTTTAGTCCCTTCAACCTGCTTCTGAATACACACCAGTGTGGGTGGGGAGAGCCTGTGCCGGGATGTGCAGCATCCTCATGGATGCACGGACCCGTGCTAGAGCCCTGCTGAGGGTGAGTGATAGCCCAGGGGAGCAGAGCCCTTCACCTGCCCAGCTCTCCAGAAACGCCTGTGATCTTCACCGAGGAGGAAGGTCACAGCTGCTTTAAACGCTGCTGGGTGAAATGCAGGGTGTTAGCAGGGGGGTGGTGGCTCTGGAGGGTCCAAGGGAGAGGGGGACGGAGGAGGCAGCTCTGGGGATGGGTTTGTGCCTGGCCAGGTTTCCACAAGGCTGTGGGGGGAGAGGGGAGCAGGGGTGATGCTGTTGCTCTGAGGCTCTTTCCGAGGCCAACGCAGTGTTTTAGTCGGTCTGGAGCGAGTGCTTCTTGCCAACAGAGCCGAGGAGCTGAACGGTGTTTTCCTGGGCTGCGATGGAAGCTGCCTCAGCCGGGTGCCAGCGCTGCTGCAATCGCTCCCGCTGCTCTAAAATTAGCTGCAGAGCGGAGAGGCACCCACAGCGTCCTGGAGAGTGATGACCAGGGGCTCTCAGCACCCCCGAGGAGGGTCTGAGGCCGCGTCCTCGCCAGCCTCCCCCCGGCCCCACCACCTTTGGGCAGCACGTTTCTCCAAGCAGCCCTTGATCGGGCTCGGTCCAGCCTGACCTCGCTCCCCCAGGACAGCAG